GAGAGAGAGAGAGAGAGAAGAGAGAGAGAGAGAGAGAGAGTGAGAGAGGGAGAGGAGGAGGTGATTCAGGAACGAGGTGGCTTTCACTAACGAACGCCATTTGGTCCTCGGTGTGGCTCTCGAGTGTGCACTCGTCGCGCATTCGGTTATTTGTTCGGTCAGGTTCGCCGAGGGAGAGGCGAGGCGAAAAACAATCGGGCTGGCTCCGCTGAATCGAGCGTATCCACGAGGAGGGAGATAAATAGTTCATTTGGTTGCGCGGACAATGAAACATAAATTCGTAATGCCGATGGTAATGGAGGGGGATGGTCAGGTTGTGGACGACGATTCATTATGGTATATCGTTTAAAAGAGATGAATGAAGATGCAACCGGAGAGGCGGTCAACCGGAATAAAGGAGGGGAGAAAGGAAGAGGAAGAGGGACGGTATTAAGCAAGTGGAACAAAGGTGTTTCGTGTCCGCAAGGGGTATAAATAAAGAGGAAGAGAACGACACGAAGGGCACGGGTTGAAGAGGAGGAGAGCCGCGCGAGCCGCGCGACGTCGGCCTTATGGTGTTAATGGAATAAAAAGGTAAACTGGCGAGTAAAAATAAATAAATTCGCGGATTCGGAGGTGGGATTGAAACGGGGAATAGCCTCGTTTGAATGGGGATGTGCGTATGAAAGGGTTAAGGAAGGGAAAAAAAAGAAAGCGACGGACCGTCTATTCACTCGGGTGCGCATAGGACGACAGGAAGATTCGTCGAGCTGTTTTCTCCACTCTCTCTCTCTCTCTCTCTCTACACCGGCTTTCGTGATTTTTAGTGCTGAAAAGAAAAGAAAGGAGAAAGGAGAAAAAAGGAGAAAAAAATAGGACAGCTCCTCGCGCTACGGTAACAGTACTAATAACGACGAATTCAATCTCTTTTAATTAGGACGCGTCGGTCGTGATTGCATCCATGGTCCGCGCGACCGCTTGTTTGGTAGACATCTTCCGTTCTACGCCGTTCCGTACCGGAGAGAGCTTTTTAATTAAAAGGCACACCGCCACACCAGCAAATTAATTGTGCGCGCGTATTGTTTACTATTTGTTCGTGACCCGGGAGCAAGAGATTAATAATTTGCCGTGGATACGCACGCGCGTATGCGAGCACACGCGTATTACGGCGGTCGTTTGCTCGTATATCGTGCCGTTCGTACGAAATGGGAGGGGGGGAAAGGAGAAAAGAGAAAAGCAGAACGGTGACCGGAACGGTTTAATTCGCGGTTGGATTGTCTCGAAACTACGTGGATTCGACGTGCACGTATATCGGAGTATATCGAGAGCGGAAAATATTTATCCTGATTCTTCGTCCACGAAGCGTCAATAATTCGTTGGATTAAAGCGAGGAGGAGGTTCGACGGTAGACGAAGGGATGGAAAAGGAAGTGGAGGAAGAGGATGGAAGAAAGAAGGAAGGGAAAAATAAAAAAGAGAGGAGAAGAAGAAAGAAGAAAAAACCCGTAGCCCCAGCTACTTTTCGAACAATTGACCTCGTTTAAGGGCGCTCGTCGCGCGACAAAGGGCGCTCGATGCTTAAGAAAGGGCGCGCAAAGCTCTCGCGAAGGGCTGTACAGGTCAAATTGAAGTGGTGGCTGTACCGTCGCAAAAAAAAAAAGAAAAAAGGCGTCGCATAGAACGACGTTTTATTTTGCTCCGTCGTTTCTCACCGAGCTTCCTTCGTCCCTACAATCTACGAGACGAGGAAGAAGACGACGTGGACAACAACGAAACCGCTTCCCTTCCCTTCCCTTCTCTTCTCTTCGTCTTCAACTTCTCAGCGTTCTAGCGCCGTCTCTGTTCGAGCGGCTTTTCTCTTACTCTTCTTCTCTTCGTCCCGGGTTAAAGTCTCTCGAGCCGCGTTGTACCACGAAATGGCGGCGTGTTGGACGCGGGGAACAAGGCGTGAGAGAATCCTCAAACACCGGTTGTCTCCGATTGAACGAAATCGAGGAAAAGACGGTGCGAGTTTAATCCACGAAATTCCTCGAGCGTCACGCGTTCTCGATCAGCAGGGGACAATCGATGGGGTGGATTGCACCCGGATCCGTTCGAGGAGGGAAAGAAATGGATGGATCTCGAAAATTTTTAAAGAACGAATTTCCGTCAAGAGACTCGAATTGGAGCACGACCCTTCCAGTCGACGAGCCATGATTTATGAAAGATCCGACTCGATTACCCCGTTGATTAATTTACCACCGGGGGTTGATCGATTTCCAATTCATCATAAATGTCCTCTCTCACGGTGGCAGCGGTGGCTCTTTCACGGGAGATCCCCCGTGGGACACTTCGTTCGGGAGGATGCTCCCGAAAGATGCCGCCAGTCAACCGCAAATTAACTTTAATGGTTAATCAGGCCGGCGTGTCAGCCTGGCAAATTTTTTGACGATAACGAAGAAGCAGCTTCCACTTGATGGCAGCCGCTTCTGCCCATACCGATCTGCCTCCATCGACCTACGACCCGCGATGTATATATCAACTGGAGAGGCATTCATCACTATGAGACCGGGTGCACGGACCGGAGGGTTGAAATATAACCGGGACGCGTATTTTTTTATTCCTATCGACGTTTAATTAAAAGTTGACCGCAACGTGCGTGAGAGAGAAATCACGGGAGCTGTGACCCATGAGGAAAAAAATGGCGAGGAAGAAGGAGGGAAAAAGGATTCGTGGGTGAGCATCGCTCGCGTCATGCTACGATTTCCATTTCTCGTGTTCCTCCTTTTCTTTCGTTTCGCTTATTTTCGTAGTCTTCTTTCTCTTTTTCATTTTTCCTCCTTCTCTCTCTCTCTCTCTCTCTCTCTCTCTCTCTCTCTCTCTCTCTCTCTACTCTACTTACTAC